AGGAATGTAGATAAATAGTGTTGCCTTTCCACAAATCTATGAACAATATAATATCTAAAAAAATGTTTCTTTCACCATAACAAGTTTTTTCATTTAATTTCCACCCGTAAGCACCTTGAGTCACTTTTCTTTTTACATCGCAGTTGAATTTTCTTTACTTAATTTAATATTCACAATATTTATGTTCCTTGATTTCCTCTGGTACCTTTACTAACCCTAAGTTTGCTTCCTTATACTGGATAGATAACACTCAATGGAATGTTTAAGCCTTATCATTATATTTTAATTCATTTCATTATTTTCATTATTATTTTTCATTATTCTTTATTATTTTTTATTCAATTGATGACTATATTAGATTCATTAATTATTTTCAGTCTATTATCATTTTAGTTTTGTAGAATGAAGTCAAAATTTATTGTACTCTGATACATTAAAATACATTTCACACGTGTGGCTTGGAGAAGAAGCAGGTGATATTTCTGGCCAAGTAGAAAGGAGGTTCTGTGCACATCAAAATGCTCATTTATTATCTCTGAATATTCATTTCACTTAGTGAAGGCTAAGGTACCATGGAATATGATACATATGGAGGTGTTAGGCAAGAAGAGTCTAACCTAATATACATCATGCTATATTAAATGTTTAAGTTACAATATTATAATGAGACTCAATGTACAGTATTAATATTATATACAGCCATAAGTACATACTAAAATAAGCTTTATGGATATAAAGAAATACAATTGGGGAAAATAACTAGTGTGTAAGTTAGGAAAAAGTGTGGAAAGTTGAATGTTCCTAAGCAGATCCCAGGATCATGAACTCATTGCCTGGTGTAATTTGGAAAAGAAAGGAAGGGAGTTGGAGGTGACTCAGACATAAAACCTCTGCAAAAAATTGCAGACTTGAGGCATAACAGACCCCTTTATGTACTTTGGAGCATTTGATAAACACATTTCTTGTAACCAAAACTTTCTCCCACTTTTTCAGGGGCTGGAAATTGGGAGTGAGTGTTAGTATCGACCTTTAGTTACCCAGAAACAGAACGGGAGCTTAAGAAGGTGGGGCAGGTAGAGAGAATAGGTCCTAAATACATTTACATAGAAGGCCTTGAATAATATTTATGTATAAGAAAATGGAGGGAGTAGATATTTGAAAGACTATGAGAAAAGAAGGAATAATAAAAAAGAAGAGGAAGGTAAATATAAATGGAAAAATTTTTTAAAGATAGGGAGATGGAACCCAGTGAGTAAATTAGGAGATGCATGTATCTGATAGAATATCACATAGGAAAAGAGGTCTGCAGGCATGGAAAGGCTTCATTAGGTTTCCCCGCTAATCTAGACTAGAGAGTGCTAAAGCATCACTGGAGGGGAACAGTTAAGATAGGGAGGGCTGACAAACAGCCTTGAGGTGGCAAAGCAGGCACCACAGCTGGGGCATCTGTCTTCCCCACCTCCGGTAAAATGCCATGGAGTTGAAAGTGGGGAGAGGACTGCGCATCTCATGCTTTATGTCTGAATATTTTCCCCCCTACAGTAAATGCATTACTGCAGTACTCACTTAATCACTAATATGATTTTGTACTAAAAGTTCCTCCAAACCAAACTATAAATTCCTGAGGTAATACGCTACTAAGGGCAAGCAGACCCACCTAGGAATGTGCAGGTAGACAGTGGAATCCTAAAACCCAGGTAAGGGTTTTAGGGCTGGGATCCATCAGGGACAAGAAAACAAGTCAGGCTGTGCCAAGTTCCCCTCTGGAGCTGGGAGGAAGAGTCTATATCATTCTGATTAAAGGAAGCTGGAAGACACAGGTCTTCAGGTGTTAAAACTTTCTGAAACCCCCTAACCACATTTCACAGTGTAGTTTTCTGTCCCCTGACTTCCTCTTTTTCAAAATAATTGTTTTATTTATTTTAAACTGGGTTCTTTTCACTGGCTGTGGCTGAGGTGCAGACAGCACTGCTGTGGTTTACATTCCCCACATGACAGTTGAGAAATCATGACACCACCCTGTCTGTGGGAGAATATGACAGAAGAGAACGACACTTTACAGCAGCCAAAGCAAGAGCTGCAATTCTAACACAATTACACACACAGCAGTTATTCCTCCTTTTGTGAGCACACCTGACACTTCATCTCCTATGCATTGGGGAAGGAGAATGACAGGGAAGCAGAATCTCTAAGTGGAGTGCAGATCCTGACCACAGCCTCAAGTTTCCTAAATACTCAGCCCTTGCTCCTGGATGCATGTCTGCCCAAAGCCAGTGTGCTGCTCAGCTTAATCTAATGACTCTGATAGATCAACAGATTCCATTGTGTTTATAAAATAATGTAATTGTGTTTTCCACACTATATAACATAGAAAATAAGTTAGCTTTTATTTAATTCAAATTAAATAATTTCTTTAGTTTAAATGTTGTCTAAAAGCCATATATTCTATGACGTTTTGTCAATAAACCTGACAGAGTATATTTTCTAAATCATAAAAATATTCACAAATGAGTGTAACATACAACTATAGCTTATAAAAATAATTAATGTGTGGAAACTGGAGAGCAGAGAGTCCATCAATATACAAAATTACAAAAAAATTTATGTGATGAGAGAAACCTTTAACAATATTTTGAACAATGAATATTTATTAAAATCTAAACTCTAATCACAAAAGGACACAACCAGAATATATACCAATATAGATTCTAGATAGATAGATATTGAATGTAGAGTAAATATTGATTTGAAGTAATGTTGATGTAATGAATGGCATGATTTGTCATCAATTTGGAAATCTGAGAAATATAGTCTATTTTAAAGCATTTGTATAAACTAATTAGCTGTCTTACAATATTAAAACCTAAATATATATTTATTTTCAAAATATACGTGTAGTACCTTAGAAAAACAACACTAATGAATATTTTAACAAAAAATAGCTTAAATTTCAAAAAAACAAATAATTTATATAATCACATGTTGGGAGTCAAGTACCAGTATATATTATTGTATAAGTTTAAATAAATTAGCTTATTTGAAAAATGAAACTTTATATTATAAAATAACCTCAAAATAACAAAAAGAAATATTAAATTGACCTTATAAATATACAGGTAAGAAATTTTTAAAATAAGGAAAATTTTATCCCTCTACTTTATCTACGCTTAAGGCCTGTCACATATCTTAAACACGTTGGCAACTCTTTTCTTTCCAACAGTTTTATTTTAAAAGCATTTCAAATTAATAAACATGATAATCATTAGTTTATTTTTAAAGAAAACTGTCGATGTCGCTCCTGGCCGGCAGGAAGGACACACGACAAAGTCTGGCAGTGGACAACCTTTTCTTTTATTTTCCTTCTCCGTACAGCCTGCCCTGGGATCGCTCCCAGCCGAAGCCTCCTTTGGTCCGCTCCCCGCGGCTCCTTCTGGGCTTCTACTTCCGGGCTTCTTCTTCCCCCCCAGGGGTGGCACCAGTATATATACGGATACAGTGTCCAATCATGTTAAAGTAAGCAAGGCAAGCTGATTGGCTAACATCATCAGTTGCCAGGCAGACTATATTGTTGAGCGGGTTGCTTACGCGGTAAGCAGGAAACTAACGTGCTCGATGGGAGGGGTAATCTACCTCAGGCTTTACTCTTTACTACAGGCCTCACGTCCGCCAAGTGAGGCGACCGGGCTCGGGGCTGCGGCTCCCAACAGAAAACTACAAACCCAAAGACATCAGGAGAAAGGCAAAGAAACAGCTGGCTTGGGCCAAGAATATACTCAGTGACACAAGAGCCTTCCTAAGTTTGATTCCAAGTACAAAAAAAAGCTGGAGCCTCAGGCTCTTTGATATATCACAGAAATGAAAGGGTTTAGCATGCTCACAGGAGCACACCTTGCAGTTAGTGTTGCTCAAAGATTTGTAAATCAGAAAGTTCACAGCATTTCAGCCTCACTGCTCTATACAATGAGAGTCGTAATTTGTTCAGATACAAAGTATATGTTAGTCTTACAGGTTTTAATTGCACAGAGATTATTAGATATTAAACTTTAAAGTATATAAGGAAAGCCAAAAAGTTTATAAAGAAATTATAATTGTTATATATGCAAAGAGAAGTATTCATAACCACTGTTCTAGAAAAGTATGTACAAAGTTGTCAACAATACATCGAATGACTCTGTATGCTTTAATAATTATTCTCCAAATTGTCTTCAACATTAAGATTTATCACTTTACTATAACTTAATTCAACTACAACGTATTACTCTATTCAGAATTCAAAATAAGGTAATGTTGACTGATTGTTTATCTTTTTGTTTCTTTGTAAGTTAAATTGAATAAAAGATTTGTAAAACATGGAATACTATTCAGAAATATGCAGCATACATTATATCAAAATATAACAGGGATCCAAGTTTTCTGGTGATAATGGGCAGCATTTTTGGTATCATCCTAAAAATTTTGCATCCATCTTCTGATCAGAGGACATGAAAAATTATAGATCTGTGAAGATGGACATGCTGAACCATATTGTTTCAAGGCTAAGTGTGAGTTGAATATGAGAAAAGCGTCAGATTTAGAATCTAACTACCATCATCTTGATTTGAAACCTACTGACCCATACTTTGTTAGTGATTACCAGTATAAATATCATGACATGTGACAAAGTGCTTTTCCATTATAACATTTTATAAAATTTGACTATGTAGAAAAATTACATTTATATGGTTAAAATTGTGAAAATTTTCTCATTTTGCACAAAGATTTTTCATTCAAAGTAGAAGTCTTTATGTTTTAGAATTAAATATTAATTTATTACTCTAAATTATAATATGAAATTATTAGAACTTGTCCCTTAAAATATCCAAGATAAAGTTTTCTAGCTAAAAGGCAACTGGAGAGGGTGATCAAAAAGGATTCAATCAATTATTATTGAATTTGTATCAAAGAATTCTCAGAAGAAAAAAATAAAAAAGCAAGGCACAAATGTAAATACATAGCAACTCTTAGTTTAATTGCCTCAAGCCCTCTCTCTTCTGCATAATTCTAACAACAGCGCTTATTACTTCTCTGTTTCTGAGAGTGTAGATGAGAGGATTCAGCATGGGGATCACAACTGTGTAAAACACAGAAGCTATCTGATCCTTTCCCAAGGAGTAGGACTCCTTTGGTTTTAAGTAAGCAAAGATTGTAGTGCTGTAAAAGATGGTGACTCCCAGGAAATGAGAGGCACAGATAGAGAAGGCTTTTCTCTTTCCAGCAGTGGAATTAATTTTCAGGATAGTGGAGAGAATGGACATATAGGATCCAGATATGGTGATGAGGGACACTAGGAGGGTAGATCCACCAAAAATGAAAATAATAATTTCAACCGCGTAAGTGTCACTGCAAGACAGGACTAAAATTGGGGATGTGTCACAGAAAAAATGATGGATGACATGAGAGCCACAGAAATGCAGCCTGCTCATATAAACCACCACAACAGTGGAATCCATAAAGCCACTAATATAAGAGCCAGCCAGCAGGATGCGGCACAGTGTTGTGGACATAATGACTGGATAGTGTAGAGGGCTGCAGATTGCTGCATAGCGGTCATAGGCCATGGAGGAGGAGAGAAGAATGCATTCAGCTGCACCACAGAGTATAAAAAAGTACAACTGAGTGAAGCACTCTAGAAAAGAGATGTCCTTGGTGGAAGTCAGTAAGTTCTGTAAGGTTCTAGGAGTGATGACAGTTGAGTAACTGAGGTCCAGAAATGACAGGTGAGTCAGGAAAAAGTACATGGGGGTGTGAAGCTGGGGATCCAGGCAAATGATCACTATCATCCCTGCATTCCCCAGCACCGTGACCAGGTAGATGAGGAGGAAGAGCAGGAAGAGGATCAGCTGCATCTCTTCAGAATCCACCAGCCCCAGGAGGATGAAGTCAGACACACTGCTGGAGTTCCATTTGCCCATGTTGTCCATTGCATTTATCTGTTAAATAATCATATCTGATATTTAGACTGAGTGACTACAATAATATTTTAGGGCATGAGGACAAAAATTTAATAGATTAGTTTTTCTTAGTATTTACTGAGCACAAGTGGAAAAATGTAAATTGTATAGATATGGATATAATTTCACATTTATTGCTAATATTTTAAAAGATTACAGCTTAGGTAAGAAATACAAAACTGGTGAAGTTGCAAATGCTTTCATTACTCAACATGCTTAAGTCATATGAAGATAATTTAGTTAGACACTAGTACACATCTGTATAATTATATCAGAGAGAGAAGAGCAGAGTGCAACATCCGAGAGCAATTCCATGTTAGCAGCATGAATCTAAGAAGATACTTGACTGTAAAAATGGCTTTGAAAACTTTGTTTTTGATTACCATTTTATTAGCAAAACTGATGAATGATATGTAATAAAGCAGTTTCAACTAAGTTTTGTTGTGCTATTGACTTTTACTTTTCTAAACTGACATTAACTATCAATTAAATTCACTGCTGTAAATTTAAGTGAGACGTATTAAGATTACATCCACATGTTATTCTTCTTAAAAATATTGAAACTGAAATCTAATATGGAGTGAATTGTGCACATGGGGGTTATGTTAAAGGTTGTGTCTTACGTCCTCCTGTTGAGAGCAGCACCATCCACCCCGTCCTCTCCTCCACTCAGATGACTGTGCAGAAAAGTGGTGTCCTAGGAAGTCACCATGCTCAGAAAGGAATACACAGAGTTGAAGCAGATCTGGTTTGGTTTGGACCAAGGAAGAAGGTAGTATGGAGGTATCTGGATGTGAAAGCATCTGGATGGACAAGCAACTCAACACAGGAAGATTTTCAGAAATTTGAATGAACCCTGTTCTTTCCTTCTAGAAATAGCTTCTGCTACTTGCATGGAGACAAGGGGCAGCATGCACCTTCCACTCTGTAAGCATTATCTTCTCCTAGCTTGATCATTCACTACTAAATTGATTTCAAAAATATATTTTCATATTACATACCTTTGCTAAAACTTTGATCCCACCAACTTTATATTCTTGTTTTAGAAATCTTAACATTATTCAAGGTCAGGTCTAAATGGTATGTGTATCTCAATTTCTCTGACAAAATTTTCACTTTGTTTACATGTCCCAATCCTCTTAAGTGTGAAGAGTGATACTTACAGTGAGAAAATGGTGCTGATAAAATTTTTTTTCAAGGTTTACCTCTTTAACATCTTGTTAAACTCAAATTATTTTCTGAAATGAAACACTAAAAAAAGCATCTGAAAATGTCAACGATATACTTCTCTTTCTTGATGTATTTTATTTTTATGCTTCATTGCATGCATTTTTTTATTGTGAGTTAAACTGTTTTCATTTCACCTGTAAATCAAATGGAAACTTTACAGAAAAGTTTCATGTGAAAATTTTCTAAGTGCGGGACTACGTACATAACCAGTACAGTATGTGGCTTTCTTCCCTGTCTGATGATTCCAGGGTGCCTCTTTATAATGAGGATTCAGAATAATGCACCATTAGGACATCCTCAAGGTATCATTTCCAGGGTCAATTACTTGGCCTGATTCCAAGGACAAAAGTTGAAAAACAAATTCATAAAAGAGTTGTCTAGCCTTCAAAAACCTATACCCAATTCACCCTTTTTTATTCTCAAAACTGTTGCTGAAATTCATTTATTACCCTTTCACAGTGATGCATGTTATATGGATTTGCAGAAAATAATATTTTCACTGATGTGTTCAATCCAAAAATTTTTACAAAGTTTTTGAGAAGATATGTCTACAGATATCCTAGTAATATTTTACTTACAATATGAAGGATGCAATATAAAATTTCACCCAGAAATATTTTATACTTAAAGGTATGACTTGGTCATAGAAGTAAGTCTTACTCATTGGGAAAAAATTGAATAAATAAAATTTAAAGTAAATGATGAAATGATTCAATATTCTTTAATATTTCATTTAGACAATAATTTCAGCTGAATATCTTTATGCCTATGAAACTAATTTGGATGCATAATTCTGGATTTGCCTAATTATTATAATACTATGTATTCAATATTATTCTAATATAACAACTAAAATATAATATCCCATGACTATGGTAGATTATTTTATTAACCAGTACCTTAATGTATTATGTAGTCTATGGTGTTTCATCCTTCACTAAGCAAACTGAATGTTCCTAGATGATAAATGGACATCTTAACAGACTGTCCAAGTGAAGCAGAACCTCCTTTCGGATTTGTCTGTTTCATCTGCTACATCTGTAGAGTCCATGCTGTGTTATTTTCCTGGATTTAATTTTGTTTTTGTTTTGTAAAAGAAAAGTGAAGAGAAAGACACAATTAAGATTAAATCTAATTTTTGTTGCAGGCTTAAACCTAATAAATTTTTGCAATGAATTCAGTAGGCACTTACTTTTTAATGCAATCAACTGGATGATATATCTTGATTCCTCTTTTCTCACTACTTCTTTCCTTTCCCTTTAACTACACTATCCCTGTTTGCAAATTTTGGTTCAATTTTTTTCTTTTTTGTCTTTTTGAGACAGTGTCTCACTATGTGATTCAGGCTGGACTTGAGCTCACTTTGTAGCCCACGCTGGTCTCGAACTTGCCACAATATGCCTACCTCAGCCTCCCAAGTGCTGCAATTACAGGAGTGCACCACCACGCCTGGCCTTGTATTCAATTTTATCATCTTTTATCATTGTTTTCTTTTTCCTTTCTCTATTCCCCATCCCCCCTACCTAGATCCCTTTTCTCTGGAAACAATTCATTTCTATTTCACAGTATCTATTATACACTTATGTTCTTAATTGAACTCATGGTGAATATTATAAAAACTAAACAATTGGGATTCTTCATCAGCTTTCAGGAGATGAGAGGCACAGGCAGAAAAACACTAAACCATATCATTAAAAAGTTGATAGTTAACATTTTAAAGTATTTTAAGTCACTGTGGATAAATGTCAGATATGATTATCCAACAGATAAGTGCAGCAGAACACCACAAAAATAGGGAACTTCAGCAATGAGCCTGACTTCATCCTGCTGGGGCTGGTGGATTCTGAAGAGACACAGTTGATCCTCTTTCTGCTATTCTTCATCATTTACCTGGTCACAGTGTTGGGGAATACAGGGATGATACTGATCATTCACTTGGATCCAAAGCTTCACACCACCATGTACTTTTTTCACTCACCTGTCATTTCTCACACTCAGCTACTCAGGTGTCATCACCCCTAAGACTTTACAGAACTTACTGACTTTTAGCAAGAGCGCCACATTCCTGGGCTGCTTCACTCAGCTGTACCATTTTGTTCTCTTTGGTGGCACTGAATGCTATCTTCTCTCCTCCATGGCCTATGATCACTATGGAGCAATCTGTAGCCCTCTACACTACCCAGTCATTATGTCCACAGGACTGTGCTATGTACTGCCTGCTGACTCTTATCTATTTGGTTTTATTATGCTTAACACAGTTTTCATGAGCAGACTGCATTTCTGTAATTCTAATGTCATCCATCACTTTTCCTTGGCACATCTCCATTGTTAGTAGTGACACATATGAGGTTGAAATCATGGTATTCATTTGTGCTGGATCCACCCTGTTAGTGTATCTTAGCATCATATCTGGATCATATGATACTGGGCCAATTCCACGGTTAATAATATGATACTACCAAGATATTTTCATTGCAAAGTACATAATTTTCTGCCTGTGCCTCTCATCACCTGAAAGCCATCTTTGTGTAGCACTCTGATATTTACTCATTTCAAACGAAGGGAGTCCTATTCCTTTGGAAAGGATCAGTTGACTTCTGTATTTTACTCAATTGTGATCCCCATGCTGAATCTTCTCATCTACAGTCTCAGAAACAAAGAGGGAAAAATGCTGTTATTACGGTCCTGCAAAAGAGAGAGGATTCCAGGCAACTCCAATCACACTGCTGCTAAATGTTAACACATCTTTTCCATTTTCTTTCCATAGAAATTCTTTGGTTACTGTCTGAAAACAAGTCTTATATCTCATTTTGTGAGTGTGCATCTATGTGCATTTTTGTGTATTTCCTCTTTTGGGGGAGGGACCGGGGATTGCACTCACGACTGTGCACTTGCAAGGCAGATGCTTATGCCACTGAGCTAAATCCCCAGCTCTGTATTTCTATATTTTGCTGAACAATTTTTATAGTTTATTCATACCTAGGAAAATTCTGGCATTATTTCATGCTGACTGTTGTCTCCATGTTCAATCCATTTGAAGCCCCCTAGATAAATCTAATAGAAAGGCCTGTAAATCAACTTTTTATACTGGTCATGCTCATGTAACCTGCCAAGAACATTTAGAGATTGAATATAAACTTTCAGTTCAGGATTCTTGTCTCTTTTTAACTGCATAGATGTTAACAATGTCTTAAGATGTAGCTGAAATTCCTGCATGCTTGTCATGGTTATTCCTTGCTCTCACCTGTTGCTCAAGGTGAGCTATTTCATAGGTTCCACATGGTCCACTTGGAAGTGTCTTTTCTTTGCAACTTAGCTTTGCAGTGAGTGTGAACTCAGTACATGAGGGAGACTCATAAAATGTGTGCTTTTCTAGATTAACAGGATTTTTAAAAACAGAGTAGGGGAGGGTCATTGTAGCTTTTTACATTCTATGTGGAGATGGAAATTCTACAATCTTTTAAATATTGCCTATTATGCTTCAAAGCTATCTCTTATAGATAACTTCACACTTAATACTGCAAAATCATGTGGCACACTTTTAAAATGTAAGGGCACATTTACATCAGTGCATTTCAAACTGAACCTATCCAATCTGCTCTTAAGCTATTGTATTGTTTTTTTGCTCCTATTTTGCTTTATTCTTCTTTAATTTTTTCTTCCCTTTTATGTCCACATTGTATTAACACCTCAAACCCCAATTCTGTTCCTGTCTGTCTATAGCAATGGTC